TGTGTCCCTGAGACGCCTTCTTTGAGGCTTTCAAACAGATAAGAGGTAAAAAGTCAGCCCCTGTGGACTCATTCCAGGGAATAAACCCAGTAGCCATGAAGTTTAATGATCACAGCCCTGTTCCTACCAACCAAGGAACTACCCTTCCTCAGTGCCCTTTTCAAAATGCAAGTGTGAAACAGTAGAATGCTAATGAGAACTGGGTGGTTTCAGTCTTAGAAAGACTCTGAGTGCATCCTTCTCCCTGAAGTTCAAAGTCATGCATTGGGCCAAACCTCTTCCATCTAAAACAGCTTTTAACCTCGTCGCCTGGTTCTCAATTCTCACTTTGGTCTCTCTGCTTCTTACACGGCCCTAATCTATGCCTACTGCATTCTCTAAGTGGAGTGCCCCTTTTTCTTCACTTGCCATGAACTTGTTTCTCTGTCTTCCCTTCTGCAGTGTGCGTCTGCTGTTATTATAATTTAGACCAAATCAAACTGCTTGTGTCCTGGCAGTCATACCTGGTTTCCCGCTGAGAAACATCCTCTTCCACTCTCACCCCTTTGCGGGATCTCTGGGGAAAGAATGTGACTCATGCCAAGACAATCGAGGCATTGTGTTCTACTCCCCCAGGGCCACAGCCCTTGGTTCAGGTGACTCAATTAGAGTCAGGGAGACTCAGTGAGATTTTGTCAGAACCCTTAGGAGAGAGGCACATGACCTTTCCCATCAGATTGAAACTTAAAAAGATGCATCTCCAGGGCAGCTACATTACCGCCCTGGGGAGCCCAAGAGTGAGGTCAGGTGAGAAATGATGACATCTCAGAGTAGGGTGGTGACAAGGGAGGTCAGCGATGTGGATCGATTTAAGGACTGGCAGTGGTTGGGGCTGGTGGAGGAGAGGAACCTCCAGGCAGATGGAAGGACAGTGACGCTGTCCTTCCAGGAGAGGGCGCCAATCTGTGAGGCAATCCCTGGATTCAGTGGTGGACACCTTGAGTTTAAGGCTTTGGGGACAAAATAAAAAATGTAAGGTAATAACTGTTGGTTTCAGTGATGGAACTGAGATGTTTTCTAATCCCTGTCATGAGCTCCTCAAGGGCTTATCCCTTATCTCAGTGATAAAGGAAATTGGCTATTTTGGAATCATTACAGTGATCACACAGTCATTCAGAGATTTCTATCCATTCAACTGCCCTCCTTTCCTAATCTCTTACTAGTAGGAATGCGCTCAGTAACTGATCCCTCTCACGACCAGCCTCTAATTAATGCCAAATCTCCAACCTATAGAGACCCTTGTCATTCTGTTAACTACCTGACAAGCATTAGAACACCCCATGGTGGGAACGTCTATCTGGGAGTGTCTGCTGCCAGTTGAGGAGAGGGAGGGCTCTATCAATGGCAGATCTGTCTCCTACTTTCCATGGGTGCAGACATATTGCCAGCTCTGGGGTCAGAGGTCCCGGAGGGCTCCTTTCAGCACAGCAGTTGTCAGAAACACTTCGAGACACCACTCACAAACGCCTTCTCGGTTTTGGCTGTACAAGTAGTTCCACTGACAACATCAGCATAAGAACACCACCTCAACACCATCAGAACAACAGAATGGGACTTGACAACCGACCTGGGCTGTTATTTCTTTTCTTTGGTCTCTGTATTGTCTTAGCAAACAGCCCAAGTGTAACTTAGTTGGTTAGTTTGCTATGTCCCTGTCACAAGCAGCATTCAAGCAAAGCCATCCCTGAACTATAATTTCTGTCTCTGACTCTCCACAAGCACAAACTCCCTTGCTAATTCAGTAGGAATATGTCTGAAGGTCAGACCATCCACTTGACTTCATTAAAACGAAATATGGACTGATTTAGAGCTAGTGCACAAGCTGCTAAACAAGAAACCACCAACTGGAACAGTCAACTATATGTTATAAAGGTTATATTTATTTATTTTTAGAGAAAGGAGAAGGGAGAAAGAGAGAGAAACCTCAACATGTGGGAAAAACATCTATGGACAGCTTCTTGCGCATCCCCAACCGGAGACCTGCCTTGCAACCCAGGCATGTGCCCTGACCTGTAATGAAACCTGCCAGGGCCAAACGAAATTTTTTTCTAGAAAATTAAAGCTATACTAAAATTAAAGCTATGGAGGAAGATACTGTGGTCTGATGGAAGCTGTCAAGTAAGAGATCCACTTCAGAGTTCTCAGCTCAGCTCTGCTGCCTCGTAACTACAGACAGAGTACTAGACTGTGCCTCAGTTCCTTTTTGTGTAAAAGGCAAGGACAATGAATCCCATGCATGCTTCCTATAAGAAAAAACAACTATATAGAATACCCAGTCAATATGTTTTTAAAAACAGAGGATTCAGGTTTTTGCAAAAGTGTGGCTCATTCACCCAAGGGCTTTCCTTGGAATTTTATCAACAGATGGATCTTAATGAAAGAGAAACAAAAATAATGCAAGGGCAGGATGAAAACAGCACCCTTAACCTCATCCAAGCAGAAGAGCTGACGCAGCCCCGAGCAGCAGCAGCACCGCCAAACCGTCCTGAGCCATGTATTCGACCTGCCAGACGGTCCTGTGTGTGAGACAACGAGGTCATATGGACACCTTGGCGAATCGGTCCTCGTGAGGCGGTCTGGTTCAGTGCCACCCTGCCAACACTCTCCTCACGAAAAGGTAAGTGCCACACCTTGTCTGTCACTGGTGTGAGTTCACCACTCCCTATGTCTTCTAAGACACAAAAACAGACCCACACAGATGGCTGCGCTTCTTTTCTTCATGTCATGAGTGATACTGTCCAGAGTTACTATAACCCTTAGTCCTTAAGGGAAGAGGGAATGGGTATTGTTACTTTTACATCCTTTGTTAACGTCCAGAAACCAAGCCACATATTTTTTCATAATGAGAATCTGGATCAAGTTCAGTGTATAGTTCAAAAATGTATTTCAATTATATTATTTAATAGGGTCTTGGCTTTTCCTCCAGCCCATCCCACTGCCATATGTATCCAATAATTCAAGTTCATTCTTCCTCTCCGAGTTGCTGAATAAACGTGATGTTTTACTTTGAAAGTTCAGTTTCTCTTTAACCACAGTTTGCCAAGTTTCACCGGTAAGTCTTCAGATATATAAATTTTCAGTGGAAACACCATGAAACCTGTGACGTGCATATCTAAGCTGCTCCCTCACCTGCCCAGCGGCCCCCTGGGCGGGTGAAATGCCGTCAGCAGCCCCAACATCACTCCCCGTCCACACCCACACACTTAGTGGGTGGTGGTGCTCCAAGACGTACTCAGATGGTGACCCTGCCTCCCTGAGCCACAATGCCACGTGTGACCTCATTCATCATTCACTGGGTACTTCCTGGGTGCCAGGCCCTGCAGTAAGTCTTGGGGACTCAGCAGTGAACACAACGTTACCTGTTCTCAGGAACTGCCAACATCTCTGCCAGCCCCTCATATCAACCTCCGTGATACAGATGCTGCTTAGCAAGATCTTAGAGAGTCCATGAGTAAGGCCAAGGCCTATCAGCAAGAAGCCTTCTCAGAAATACACAAGGGCAAGTGTGTGCATGATACATTTTCATTTATAAAGCATGTTTATATGAGGAGCCTCAAATAAAGATGGTCGCTTTCTGGCGGGTGAGGAAGCTGGAGCCCAGGCGCTGAAAATAACCTGCCTGAAGTTACAGAGTTAGTGACCATCAAGGATCAAGGCCCAGATTTCCTGGCTCTCCATAAAACCTCTGCCTCCAAAGGGCCACAGAGGCCTAAAAGTAACACACTGTAATATTTACTGTCCTGCTTCTATCAAAGCCTTATGGGGAGTAAGTCACTTCATAGGGAGGGCTTCCTTGTCTTTTCTACTTATGGGAAAAGAGAGAGAAATTCTGAATCATTTGTCTCACCAGATCCCAGTGAAGATGAATGTTTTGAACAATCATCAGAAAAGCAGTATCTCTTGAGCCTGATTCATCTTCCTCTTAGGTCTCCACATACGGAGACATAAAGGGGTGATGGTGATGGTGCTGGTGATAACAATGACAGCCAGCATGTACTGAGTGCTTCCTATGTTTTTAAATGCATTATCTCATTTAATCTTCACAAGAATTCTATTACAGCTCCTCATTTTGCAGATGAGAAAATTAAGTGTGACAAAGGATGAGGAACTAGACCAAGTTCGCAAAGCTTGGAAGGAAGAGCAATAAGAGCCTAACCCAAGTGTCTATGCTTTTCATCTCTATGTTCATCTTAAACCATGAGCAGTGGCCTTTTGGTGGAACAGAATAGGCTCTGTCTATCATTTTGACTGGTGTCACTTTTGAGTAGGACAAGACTGGAGAAGGGAACTCAGAGGTGTCTGACTCAGTGGAGAACTGTCACTCTGGTACCTGGTGAACAGGGGAGTCACTGAGCCCTCTGTGCACGTGGCCACTGGTTTCCCACCCTGCGCTGTAAGGGGCTGGATGTTAGAAACTGGTGAAAAGCACAGAGCAGGCGGCGCAGGGGAGCCTACCTAGCCCATCACCTTGAGAGGTGCGTTCCACAGGAGCAAAAAAGGAGAAAGCATGAGTTACAGATCCAGGCGGGTTTTACAGAGCCCCCTCCTCACTTTCGGACCCAGGGTGATTGATTCCCATGGTTCAAAGCCAAGTTTTTTTCTCATCCACAAAACTAAGAAAACCTATAAGGCTACCCTGAGAAAAAAATGAAGTTATTATAAAGATCTCTTCAAGTGCCAAGGGCATTGTGAATGGTTAGTGATAGAAATGATCCTCTCCCCACCATCAAAACCTTTCCTGTATAACCTTACTTTTAGGAAGGCTGTGTGGGGTGCCCGGGGGAGGCACTGCCCCTGGAGCTGGGCTATTTGCACAAGCAGCCATGCTTTTATTTGCATAGCAACCAAGTTCTCTTCGTTCCAGGGAAATCAGGCTTGGCTGGGGGCCAGGTGCGCTATATTTTCAGCTCTCACCCCCTCCCCGGCCCTATCTCTGGGCAGAGGCCTTGCCAGGGCCTTACCTTGCTGCTTCTGCATGGTGGTGAAGTCCTCAAAGGTGAGTGTGCGCACAGGGGGTCTCCAGAACGCGTAAGTCTCCATGATGGCTTCCAGTCCGGTTCTGCAGAGAGAGAAGCCAGCAAAGGAAGTTGTCAATAATCCCAAGAAATACACTGACTTTTTACAGATCTTGGGTGGTTTGTCTGGCAAGTGGTATATGCAGAGGGCATGAGGGACAGCACCATCAGGAAACAACTCTGGCAGAGCACAAGGCACAGGTGACACTAGGTGGCAGGAGGAAGAAGAAATGAACCCAATTCAGATGATTGGCAAACAAGTCATAACTACGATGGAATTTCACTCTGACCTTCTTCAAAGGAGGTTCGGTCTGCATGAAAAAGAGAACATGTCAAGATCCGGGTCACTAATATGAACAGGGTTGAGCACAGAGTAGCACTGGCCATGTCCCTGGCATAGGGCAATGTCATCATCATTACCAGAGTGCACTGACCCAGCCCATCCCAGAGTCAACTCCGCCACTGGGTACATGGAGTCAATGAAACTGACAAGCAAGGCAATAGAAATAAAAAGTGAGGTAAGCAATCAAATAGACCCGAGTTTCTGTTGCAACAGGAAATACCTACCTGAAGGCAAAGAGAAGGATTGATCCCAGAAATTATACCTCAGGCAAATATTTATCTGTATTTTATAATCTAATAACCAAGCTGAACTTTGAGGGTCAGATTCTCGGGACTGTCAGACTTCAGAAAACACCCAGGAGTTTGCAGATACACTACTTTAAGGCTTCTGGCTCATTGATATTGGAAACTCTGTTCATCGAACTATGCGCACACTCCTACTTTACCATTCCATCAATTCTCTCTGTATCACATCAGTGAGCTGTTGATGGACATCAATTTAACATAATTATCCAAGTTATCTCAGACATACTCTTGCTGATATTCCATGTGGTCAAAACAGAGTACTGTAGTTGGGGTTTCATGTAAGGCTTTGAACACAGCTTCTGACATTTGATTTTTCTTTAAAACTAACTTCCTCCATCTAGGTGGAGGAAGGGCAAGTTCAAGGACAGTGAAGAAGCCTGGAGGAGGAGGGTAGAGAAGTGGCATAAGTCACTGGAATATAACGTGGTGTCCTTTCCTGGAAAAGACAAGCGTTCACTCTTGAGATGAAACTTAGGCTGCCTTTCCATCTCCCTAGGTAATACATTTCCAGAATTCTCTACAGTCTTGCACACCAGGAAGAAAGTGAGAAGTTTTATTTTAAGTGAGAACAAATATTCTTTCCTTATAAATGACTCTAAGATGCCCTGAGGTTCTTCTCAGATGAGCTGCTGATATACTGATTGGCTCTTTGTGTTGGAAAACTTCCTCTCTGAACAGGTCTTACATGCACAGTTAACTTTCTAAAGTCTTCTCTGGAATCTCAGAGGCTTTAAATACACCAATGTTGGCAAATCAAAGTCTGTATTTTTAGAAGAGGTGGAGAGAAGAGGGTGTTGCATGGTGTTTATTAGCTGTTAATCTGTTAAACGTAGGAATAGGAGACAACTTCACCTACTCACCCTGCATTAATGCTGAATACAGTACATGAAACTATCTGTGGAGAGAAAGAGTCCCAGCAGTTAGGAAGTTCAGAATAATAAGGGGACAGGCAGGTAAAGCCACACTGAGCTCTAATGTTAGTGGCCCATTAGAGCATCTCAGGGGTCCCTTTGGTGGCATGGGAGGCTCATTGGCAATGGCAATATATTTATTGTTCCACCTCCTATTCCATTCTTCCCAAGAGCGTGCACTGATGATGGTGACAAAATATTAGCTCAAGGACAAAGAACAGTCCCTTCTCATTTCATTATAAGGTGATAGAAAACTGTAAAGTACCAGTAACGCTCCAATATACTGCCAATATTATATTCATTAAAGGGAAAATGAACTTTCATTTTACTTTCATAACAGGCAAAAAGACTGTGGCAAATGTATTAATAATTTTATTTAAAGCAGTCAGTTCTATATAGGACCGTGACCATCTCCCTAAATCTAAAATCCAACTGAAAGACTGAGTTATAGAACCATAGGTTTAAAAAATAGAGATATTGGGTGTGGTCAACTTCTACTTTCTATGACACCACCTTGGGTGGTGATCCAGCCTCTGTTGGAGTATTTCCCAAGGAAAGCATTCAATTTTTTGACATGTCTATTAGAAAGTTCTTCCTGACTTTGGGCCAAAATCTCTAATGTAACTTTCACCCTCTGGTTCCATGACCGATGGGTAAACAGTGAGAGTGTGCAACATTCCCACATCTTCAACAGGAAGACTTGCCTTAGCTGTGAAGAATGTACTGGATAACATGCCACATAGGATGCACCCATGATCATGCAGCTCAGGGCTCTGTCGCAACAAGAGCTATTCTGATGATGTAATTGAGGGATAGGGGCCATGGCTACCCAGAAATACTGGCTAAGACCACACATTCCTAACAACATCTTACGAATCCATTGCGGATCCATCTCTCACAGATTTATCCTAGACCTTTACTGAATCTATGTATTCAGAATGTATTTCTTAGAAAAATTACTCATTATTTGTTTATAACATGCCACATCTTATTTGTCCTCAACCACATTAAGCTCCATGGAGTAGATCTAATTGTTAGAAAGTACCACTTCTATAGATCAGGACTCAGAAAAGTGCCATGGCGAGATAAGTATTAGATAATCCATCTCCCTCAGCACTAGCATGTCTGCTTGTGATCCCATGACTTTCTATGATCCAGTGCTTAGCACATTGCCTGTTACATGGCAAGATGTCAATAAAGATGAGTCAGTATTCCATGAACTTTAACCAGCATTCATTTTTCAAAGCCTAAAACTTAGGAAAACAACTTGATGTAAAATCAAGACTCTGAAGACAGAAGGAGTCCTCTAGTACTACAGACTTGGGAATCATTTCTATTGCTGATGGGACCTTTCCTGACTCATATCTCAGTGAGGTTTCAGTGATCCTTTGGTTTCTTCCACTCCAGTCACAGAATTTCTGTGAGTCTAAGTCCCCAAGCTGAGGCCGGTCCGTTCCACACTCCTCTTACTAGAGTCCTTGCAAACCACCTATTAACACCTTCGGCCACTTGGATGTCTTTTGCAACACATTGTTTACTTATTTATCATCATCATATTTTCTTTTTAATCTCAAGGTTCTTACATGTGAATTTATGGTCTAACAAATAAAAAAAATGTCCTAAGGTAACCACATATTATCAATATGTTCCACAGGGTGAGCCACTCTGGGTTTGTTGCACACCAGAGACCTGATGTCATCTCAGAGGTTTCCAATCAGAGATGATCACACTGGCAAGGGTCCCTCTTTTGTTTACTTTTCCCTGTTTTCTCCAGTGACAACAGAGGCCATATCCAAACTGTTTTTGTTCAGTCCTTTGGCTGTAATCACCTCTTTGTTTTCCAGGCCTTTCCTCTTCGGACTTTTCAGTCTGCCCCCTGGCCAAACCAAAGACACTGCTGAAGAGGCGGGAGAAGAGAAAAGAGAGGAGGCAAGCCAGAGAGCTCTTGCAAACTTAGGATGCCTTGAGATCAACTGATTTGGAAAAATAGCCAGACTATAGAGAAATATTCTCCCAACCTTCTCATTCAAAAAAATTGCTGACACCATCCATTTGCAGTTCAGCAAATATTTGATAATTATAACAATAGGTTCATATTCATGAACATATTAGGTAGCACACCAATGCATGGCTCTGCTTCTTATTTGTCTTGAGAGAGAGAGCTACTGTTATGCTTCTTCTGCTTATTTTCTCTCTACTTCTGCCTCTTCCTCCATCTCTTCCCCCATCCTATTTGCTGGTAGTAACAAAGGGAACATATGCTACGAGTTGATAAAACCATTGGTCATCTCTCAATAGAAGACAGTCAAGAGCTAAGGGAAGTCTACTAATCAAGATCTTGAAATCATAAGGAGTTATCTAACAAGAAAAACTATTATGCTGGGTTCAGGAGATGTAAAGAAGACACAAGGTCTTCATCCTTTAGGTGTGTCCTATTCAACAAGAAGAGCACACGTAAATAACTAGTTTCTGAACTGTGTGAAAAATGCTACACTGAAGATACGTACATGCCATGGAGCACTGAGCAAGAAGTATTAAATATGCCTGAAAACTCAAGTAATAGTCCGTAAAGTCCAGTTATTTAAGTTCAATACTAAAGGGTACTCAGCAGCTTTCTACACAGAGGCAGAAAGAACCTTCCTAGTAGAGTTAACTCTGTATGCAAAGACTTGAAGGTATAACAGAGAAGGCATGTTCTGGGAACTGAAAATAGTTCACGGTGACTGAAGCTGTGGATGTAAGATGGGGGTGGGGGATGTGGGAACATCATGGATGTTTATTCCATGTTAGCTGCTTAGATTTTATCTCACGGGCAGCACTCTGCCTCTGAGCAACCTTCCTTTCTCTTCCTGTTCCAACATTTGAAAAGACACGAAACAAGAATATACTGTTCTTTGAGATCTTGTTATGGTATCTCAACTGCCAAATCCATTTGCTGAGACTGCCCTTGGTCCACCGAGGTGGGGTCCAATCTTCTACACAGCCTTCTCCTTCGCTGGCTCTGCAATTGGCTCCTGCATCTAGACAGATTCCTCTGAGTATTTGTCGTCTGGGGATATTCTTAAAAGACCTCCTAACAGAAGTCTACAAAACTGGCAAAATAAAACAAAGCAAGCTATCACTTAAAACTCAGGTTTGGTTGGTACAATAAGTAAATCTACATGATTAATTGGCTGTCACTGATGTGCTTTACAATGGTTTGGAAGAGCAGGGAGCTGTCCAATGAACAACCACTTGGAGTTGAGTTAAAATAGTTTCTTATGCAGTGATCCCAACTTGGGAACCCCACCCCTTTGAGCAAAGGCAGTCCATAAGGAGTTTTCACTGCCTTGGGAAGCACAATAAGAAGTCATGAAAACACAAAGCAGGCTGACTGCAATATTACGTTTCTCTGAATCGGAATGAAATGGTCTAATTTGAACTTGGTGATGCTGACCCTGGACTCCAGTTGTCCTACTGAAGGAGAAGCAGCTCATGGATATCAA